ATTGGTGTCAAAGAAGGATAGAACTTTCTTTATGTATGCAACAACAGCAGCAAGGATACTCATCGCAAAATATTGGAAGACACAAGATTTACCCACCCGCGAAGAATGGCAGATGAAGCTGATGGACTATATGGAACTGGCGGAAATGACTGGCAGAATCCGAGACCAGGGAGAAGAGTCGGTGGAAGAATATTGGAAAAAATTTAAAGATTATTTACAGAAATACTGTAAAATCAATGAATGTTAGAAAAATGTTGGAATGAAGTTACATGGCTTTAGTAGAAATGTTATAAGGAATTAAGTATAAATAGATTAATAGAGCATTAAAGGAAAAAATAAGGTTAGAATGAGTTAAGATAATTATAGGATAGAAAACAGAGGAAGATGGAAAGGAATTGCTGAAATAATTAACAGAAGTGGAATACAAAAAGGGAGGTGTGAGGAGGTCGTGGAAATAAGTGAATGAAAGATGGGATAATGAAATTGTTTGTTTTATTTTATTGGTATTGTTTTGTTAGTTTAATGTATTAATGTATTGTATTGTATTTTTTTTTAGTGTTTAAATTTTTTGGAAAAAAAAAATTTTTAAAATTTTTTTTAAATTTTTTTTAAAAAATTTTAAAATATTTTTTTAAAAAAGAAAGAAAGAAAGTTCCTCCAAATTGACTACTATATCAATTCAGTTTCAAGAGGAAAGTTTTGATAGATAAATTGAATCAGACCAGGATAATTAGCTGTGCCAAGAGTAATTAATTCACATATTTTCCTTTGATTAAAAAGGGAGGGGGATTATTTTGTACAGGAATTCCAACATTTAAGGAAATTTAATAGCCGGATTCTTGATTGCCTATTACCTATTGTGCACAAGTTCATTCTACTGCCAATAATCAGACACTAAGTCATAAAAAACATACCTTTTATCATACTAGTTTGCAGTGGGGATAGTCAAAGCCTGTAATAATCAGGATTATGCAAAATGTATTTGAGTATTTTCTAGCCACTTGAAGGCAGAACATAAATTATATGTTAATAAAGTGAAAATACAGTTAGCTCTGGGGTGAGAAAGTTTCTCATGGAATTAAATGAAATCATTCTATTTGCAAGAGGAATCTAAGGCTCTCAATTTCCCCAAAGCAGAAAAAAAAGTATTTCAAATGTCAGTTAATCTGTTCAATGAACAAAAAACTTGAGATGGGAATTATTATCTAGAACATTATCAAATTCTGCTGATAATCCCCAACTTTATCAGAAAAAAATGAAGCACTACATACTTCCTTTCTTCAGCAAATAGAGGTTTTAATAATTACTGTTATATAATCAGTAATATTTTTCTAGAAAAAGATGTGCAGGAACTCACCACGAATACCCTCCTTGTTCTCTTAGAATGGCAATAGCACCCACCTAGGAGATGCAAGAACTGAATTCTAGTAAGTTCCAGCCAGGGCCATAGCTAGGGGGTTGGGGGGGCTGTCAGGGGTGCAGGCGAGGGTGTGTGTGTATAAAATCAGCTTAAAATATGTCCATAAATACATTTATAAATAAAAATATGGATTATTGCCTCATAAGAAAATGTTTTAAATAGAGGGTGACTTGAAGAGGGGTGGAGGAGAGGCAGAAAGAAGAGCTAATTTGTCCATGGCTAGGGGAGGCAATCTGGACGGTTCTGCCAAGGGCGCAAGATCTCCTAGTTACAACTCTGGTCCGGCTGAAAAAAAGCCCTGTACATAATGTTTAAAAGATTAGAAAACCTTAGAATAAAAATAGATATGAAGCAAGTTCGTTTTCCAGTAGGTTTAACTAAGAATAACGAAGGCAGCAATGCCAACTTTGTGAGCATCACCTTCTGTTTCCACTAGAACAAAAAAAAATTCCTCACATATAGCTGTTACGATATTCCGTTCCACCTTAACAGATGTGTGGAGTTGTTGTATGTCACATGTCTGTTTACATTCCAGCACAGCTTGCTGGGAACTTCCGTTGTGTGTATAGCTTTTGCTTATGCTGTTTGCTTGCACACGAAAGGGAGAAGACATGTTTTTCCCTTTGCCCTGATGCTGAATAAAATGCCTGTAAATACGCTTTACACACCCTCTATCTGCCCTTCTGTTGCGAAGAGTTTTCTCTGCTGGCTTGCGTGCTCAGCTTCTGAAGGTTTCTGAAGCTACAGCTGCAGTTACATGCTGATCCAAGGACTGGAGATTGCCCGGCTGCTGACCGGTGAGCTGGAACCAGCTGGGGGCTTGCCAATTGCCCCCGTTTCCTTGGACGCATCCCAACAACAACAGCCCTCTGAGGCAAAAGTCAAACCGCTTCTTAAGCAGCACCAAAGCGATCTCCCCATGACACAAGCCTGGGCAGTGTGTATGGACATCCTGGGTTGCCCAATTGAAAAGATCCACCCCTCACTCAGCCTCACCGATGTGGTCCAAAGGAAAGCAGAGCAATACGTCTGGCACCAGCTTGGCTGCAGGAGTCGCTGGAAGAAGGTTGTACAAGATGCCATCCAAACAATTTAGGGACTCATTGAACTCAGCAAGGGAAGACAATCCCTGTGACAGGGTGAGCTCCCATTGTTCTGTCCCAGTTCCTGCCAACCTAGCAGTTCGAAAGCATGCCTGTGCAAGTAGAGAAATAGGTGCTGCTGTGGCAGGAAAGAAAACGGTGCTTCCATTCTGTTCACACTCAAAATCAGGATGAAAGGGAGAATCATGCTAAGAGGGAGACACGCTTGGCAAACCCTCACCATGATCAACTCCCACCCGGAAACCTGTGGAAGGACGTGTGGATCCAGAACTGGCCTCCACAGTCACTTACGGACTCACCGTTAAGACCGTGTTCATGGAAGACAATCTTACTTGGCTATGAGTGATCACAAAAGAAGAAGAAGAAGAAGAAGAAGAAGAAGAAGAAGGAGAAGGAGAGAGAGAGAGAGAGAGAGAGAGAGAGAGAGAGAAGCGATAAATTAAGGGAGTCCTACCCATATTCTGTAGTAGCACAGCCGAAGCTCGTTTTATCACTGCAAATTAGAACAGCTGGGACGCGGGTGGTGCTGTGGGTAAAACCTCAGTGCCTAGGACTTGCCGATCGCATGGTCAGTGGTTCGAATCCCCACGGCGGGGTGAGCTCCCGTCTTTCGGTCCCAGCTCCTGTCCACCTAGCAGTTCGAAAGCACCCCCAAGCGCAAGTAGATAAATAGGTACCACTTTATAGCGGGAAGGTAGACGGCGTTCCATGTGCTGCGCTGGTGCTGGCTCGCCAGAGCAGTTTAGTCACGCTGGCCACGTGACCCGGAAGTGTCTCCGGACAGCGCTGGCCCCCGGCCTCTTAAGTGAGATGGGTGCACAACCCTAGAGTCGGACACGACTGGCCCATACGGGCAGGGGTACCTTTACCTTTACCTTTTTACCCATATTCTGTAGTAGCACAGCCCAAGCTCGTTTTATCACTGCAAATTAGAACAGCACCTCAGGCAGGGAATCATTTAATTCAGTGAGGAGAGAGGGTGCAACTCAAAATCCCTCATCCTCAGAATCCCAGATAGAAAATAGAAATGACAACAACCAGTCTCAAAAGAGCACAGGATGGAGTAAGAGAACACTTTGAAAGCGCTGTTTTAAAAAGGAGGCATTTGCGTCTGTCAATGCCCCATTTTTTACATTTAGACAAGTGTGCCTTAAAAAGAGCTGAACACCACTGCGGCGCATTACTGTCTTCCACATGGGGGCTTTGCTTATACAGATATGTAATTCATAACAATGTTTAGAGGCCTTCGCACAGTAGCCAGCTGACACCTGTCTCACTGCAGGGGATATAACTTCATTGTACCCCATAGCACGGTAGTCTTACAAGTAAAGGGGAAAGTATTGATCTTGTTTTACAGATGATATATCAAGGCACAGAAAGATGAGCGTGCACTTTCCACAAAGCGTTGAACTATCAGAAGCCCCATTTGTTTCCATGAGGATCAGGGTTACGGTATTGATCTACTCCATTGATCCTCCAAAAAGACCTGGTCATTAAGTGCCTGTTATGATGTAGCAATATCTGTGTTTATTTTGTAAGAGAGATTTTGTCCATCTTTCTAAACTCACTTAGCCCTGTTTATTCTCTTCAATCTGAAATGGGCTTTCAGCTGTAAACTGTTGCTTTTTGTGTGTGCATGGGGAACGTTCGATTCAGTTAGCAATCACCTGGCAGAAAACGTTATGGTTTCCAACATTCTTGATTGTAACTGTCTTCCCAAATAGCTTCTACCCATGGAGCAAAATGCATATCATTAGCCCCCTCATTTCTTACAAAAATAATTAGTCCCTGATTTGAAATCTAAGAGGTTTAGGCAGAGCAATCCAAAGCCACTCCATTCTGCCAGTCTGTAAGGGTTGGATTTGATAGAAATCTTTCTTTTCTTTTCATTTTTTTTTTATTAAAGGTTTTCTTGTTTTACAGAAGTATGTGCAATGTCCCTCATATTTTTTCCATGTAACATTTTTACAAATCAGTTTCATTTGTTGAGACATTGGGGGGAGGGGGGATGGGGGGAAGATGGGTGGGGGTGGGATCGGGTGGCGATGTTTCCATTTTGTTTAATGTATGTAGGGTTTGGTGTCAGCGTTGCTCATGCAGGTTCTCTGCTGTTCATTTGTGTTTCTTTGGTGGTGAGAGAGGTTGAGATTGGGCTAGGGTGTGGTTGTTTGTTTGTGATTGGCTGTGGTGATCTTTGTTTTCGTGTGTGAGTGGGGTGGGTGGATGTTTTGGATCAGGTTGGCCATATTGATTTGTATGCTGTTGGTGGATTATTGTAACAATGCCCATTTACACCACAAAGAACTCATAACCCACCTACTTTCAGCAGCCAGAAACACCATAACCAGACACTGGAGAGACCTGTCAGGAGTAAGCATGGACAAATGGTACCAAATTGTATGGGAAACAGCCCTGCTAGAAAAATTAACCAATAAACTGAAACTGACACGGGGACAAACAGAAGAAGACGCCTTTACCCCGGTATGGCTCCCCTTTATCACATACACAGCCCAAGAAGAAATCTTCCTCTTCTCAGCTATCCTGGATGAGCTGATCTCCTGTGACCAGCAAAGACCATCCCCTTCCACCTGCAAAATTGGTGGGTGGCAGACTGTGTACTGGCAGTAGACATCAGAAGGCCCTGAGGTAACACATTGCAGGAGGTTGGACTGGATTACCATATATACATACATCTCAATAATTTGAGATGTATTCAGTATTTTTACAATTTTAAACTTCACTAATTTTACAATCATTTAACCCTTCAAAACTTGACTTCTCCCCCCCCCTTCTGCGGTCCCTTAAATTTATTTTTAATATCTTCTGCATATCCAATACTTTGGCCACCTCACGAGAAGAGAAGACTCCCTGGAAAAGACCCTGGTGTTGGAAAGATTGAGGGCACAAGGAGAAGGGGGCGATAGGACAAGATGGTTGGATAGTCTTCTCGAAGCTACCAGCATGAGTTTGACCAAACTATGGGAGGCAGTGGAAGACAGGAGTGCCTGGCGTGCTCTGGTCCATGGGGTCACAAAGAGTCGGACACGACTAAACAACAAGCATATCCAAAATAGTTAATTTGCTCATTTATTCATCTACTTTAAATATATACTCTTATCAAACTGCAGGTTATTACAATAATCTTGCCAATGTTCTTATCTGTTTACAATTTGTCTGTACATATTCAATAAACCATTTCCATTCTTTTATACAAAAAAAATAATTGCTATCTTGATTTCTTATTCTTCCAGTAAGTTTCGCCATTTCTGCATATTCCTTAATTTTTTGTATCCATTCTTCCTTTGCTGGGACTTCTGCATCTTTCCATTTTGGGGCAAGTGACATTCTTGCGGCTGTAGTAACATACATGAATAAGTTTCTATACAGTTTGGGTAGTTCTGTCCCCATAATTCCCAGAAGAAAAGCTTCTGTTTTTTGTTGTACAAACATTATTTAAACCATCCTTTTCAATTCATTCTATATCATTTCCCAGTAAGCTTTAACCTTAATCCAAGACCACATATGATAAAAACAACCTTCTTTCTCTTTACATTTCCAACACTTATTTGATTTAGTTTTATACATTTTTGCCATTTTGGACTGGATTACCCCTGGGTCCCTTCCAATTCTACGATTCTATTCTATGAAAACACTCTTAGCTTCCTTTGTCATCTTTAAGATGTTTCTCCTGAGGCCCAAAATCTGAATTTCCTTTACATTTCATTTTTGGAGAAATGTCAGTGTGAATTTCACACACAATATTTCTTGGGCCTAGCACCCCAGTTATATTCGGTTTTTTGCACTGTGTGAGAATATTACAACAATCCTTTTCTCTGCCCCATTTCCCATCATTTCCCAGTGCCTGCTCCAGAATATTCCCTCCTAATTGACATAAAAATCTAAGATCTATGGAGCACACCAGGCACTCCTGTCTTCCACTGCCTCCCGCAGTTTGGTCAAACTCATGCTGGTAGCTTCGAGAACACTGTCCAACCATCTCATCCTCTGTCGTCCCCTTCTCCTTGTGCCCTCAATCTTTCCCAACATCAGGGTCTTTTCCAGGGTGTCTTCTCTTCTCATGAGGTGGCCAAAGTATTGGAGCCTCAGCTTCAGGATCTGTCCTTCCAGTGAGCACTCAGGGCTGATTTCCTTCAGAATGGATAGGTTTGATCTTCTTGCAGTCCATGGGACTCTCAAGAGTCTCCTCCAGCACCATAATTCAAAAGCATCAATTCTTCGGCGATCAGCCTTCTTTATGGTCCAGCTCTCACTTCCATATATCACTACTGGGAAAAAGCCATCCCAGAAGAGAAGCTGGGACTGTTCACTTGATCATCTACAGCTATTTGGCAGCAGCATAAATAAGCAGATTGGTTTTTTTAGGTATGGAGATTCTAAAGCCAAATTATCTTCAACTTCTATCTTTTCTCCTCTCTCTTTTTTAATGAAAACGTCAAAGGAAAGAAGAAGTTCTCTGGGAGAATCAAACCGTTTTTAGAAGAAAATTTGTTGCATGCACACACCAAAGCATCACTCACCTTTGTGGAGCCTGGCAGAGTTTTTGCAGAACCCCAGGGCAGCAAGCAGAGCTAGTCTGTAAAAACAGTTGACAAGGAGAGAGGCTTGAGGTTAATAAGTATTATCTGATGGACAGCAATTGGCCAGAGCTGCCTCCTCAGATAGGAAGGTTTTGATCTTAAGCATCCCAATGTCACAGCAATGCAAAACAAAGCAGCAAACATATTTCTTAACACAGTCGGAGGAAGAGGGTAGGGGAAGCCTTCTGCCTGGAAACCTGCAAAAGCAGTAGAGAAACAAATAGCTTGGACATGACATCTGACATCCTCCTTGAGAGCAACAGGAGCCAAGTGTCATCTATTTGCCTGCCTGCTGACTGGCATGATGCGACCTGAGCTCATTTGTAACAAATATGAAATATACAGCTACGGTTGCTTCTGCCTGCTGGAGTTTTTGCTCCCCCTCCGGATTAATTACACAAGCGAAGCATTCCTGGGCCCAAAATAAACAGCGGGGCTTGGGTCTGAAGAGTAATTAAGTGAACTAAATTTTCTTCAAGAGTCCATGGCTGTAATTACTTGTGATGACTAATTGGTTGATCAATACTTTGATGACTATCTCTTGTACTATACACAGCTTAGGGGGAGGACTGGAATATGTCAGCAAATAACCCCATTGATTTTGCCATTCCAAAAGCATTTCTGCAAATGCTACCCCTTATTTAGTCTGCTCTTGGATATGTTCACAGGGCAGCCTTGTTAGCTTCTCACATGTCTCACATGTCACAGGGTTCAAAGGCCCCTTGCCCCTCTGCTCAGTCGTTCTTAAGGATTTAAGTAGAAAGGAAATTAATCCATTTAAAACCTACTGCCAAATCCAGCCAGGCAGACAGACACCGGTTGCCCCCAACGAGCTAAATGCAACAACAACCCTCTTTCCTATGACTGGTCTGTTACAAGGCAGCTGTCTCTCGCCAAAGTGACTCAGGATTAGCCATAGAAGAACACAGCCTTTTGACTCCTTCTAAAAGTCCCGTGAACTCTTAAAACTATCCCATCTTAAAGACCTTTTTCATTTTGCAAAGGAGGCAGTGAGGGATCTACATGTGAATGCTTGGGGGCGGATAAGGGAGACTTAAGAACATTTAAGCAACTGCCTTGCTGAATCACAGCAAAAGGTCACCTAGTTCAGTATCCTATTTTCTAATAGGTTGCCTCTAGAAGGTCACAAGGATGGCACAAAATTCATAGCCCTTCCCAGAACATGGCACCCACGAGCTCTGGAAATGGAGGCTTGTTTTTACCATGATAGCTGGCCCTTTGCTCCTGGTTCATGAACTACAAAATCACCACGTGAAAAGCAGCTCCATGCAATGATGTTATCTACCGTATTTTTCGCTCTATAAGACACACCTTTTCCCCTCCAAAAATTAAGGGGAAATGTGTGTGCATCTTATGGAGCGAATGCAGGCTCCATGGCTTCAGCGAAAGCAACACAAAGCCTCCAAAGCTCCCGCCACACTCCGGAGGCTTCGAGTTGCTTTCGCTGAAGCCAGGAGATCAAGACTCTCCTGGCTTCAGGGATCGCCACCCGAAGCCTCGTGTTGCTTTCGCTGAAGCCTGGAGAGCAAGAGGGATCGGTGCGCACCAATCCCTCTTGCTCTCCTGGCTTCGCTTGAGAGGCGCTGCGCAGCTTTCCCTCTCTGTGCAGCACCCCTTCAGCAAAGCAGGAGGAGAAATGGAAGGGGCCCAGTTTCTCCTGCTGCTTCACTGAAGGGGCACTGCGCAGAGAGGGAGAGATTTTTTTTTCTTGTTCTCCCCCTCTAAAACTAGGTGTGTCCTATGGCCAGGTGCGTCCTATAGAACGAAAAATACGGTACATAATGATGTCGCCAAGTTTTTGGAAATTAGAGGGATTCTGAACGAAGTCCTCCCTAAAGTAATAAATATAATACTAAGAAGTCTTGCCAGAGTGGTGCATGTTCTAGTTATCTCCTTCTTGGACTACTGCAATGTGATCTACGTGGGGCTACCTTTGAAGGTGACCAGAAAACTACAACTAATCCAGAATGCGGTAGCAAGACTGATGACTGGGAGTGGCCACCGAGACCACATAACACCGGTCTTGAAAGACTTACATTGGCTCCCAGTATGTTTCTGAGCACAATTCAAAGTGTTGGTGCTGACCTTTAAAGCCCTAAATGGCCTCAGTCCAGTATACCTGAAGGAGCGTCTCCACCCCCATCGTTCTGCCCGGACACTGAGGTCCAGCGCTGAGGGCCTTCTGGCGGTTCCCTCACTGCGAGAAGCCAAGTTACAGGGATCCAGGCAGAGGGCCTTCTTGGTAGTGGCGCCTGCCCTGTGGAACGCCCTTCCAGCAGATGTCAAGGCAATAAGCAACTATTTTACTTTTAAAAGACAATTGAAGGCAGCCCTGTTTAGGGAAGTTTTTAATGTTTGATGCTGTATTGTTTTTGATATTCGGTTGGAAGCCACCCAGAGTGGCTGGGGAAACCAAGCCAGATGGGCGGGGTATAAATAAATTAGTAGTAGTAGTAGTAGTAGTAGTAGTAGTAACAGGGGTGTAGCACTGTTGGTCAGTACCCAATGCTGCCACCTATGAGTCAGGTGAGGGCAGGGCACGAAGGGTGCTCTTCAACCTCCATGCTTACCCAACCCTTGCCAGCAATGGGTGGGCACTTGTGCATCGAGCGTTGCATGGAGGCTGCTCTTCACCCTCTGCATTCACCCAGCCCTCACTGCTGGATCTCTGCAGGGGGCACCTGGTTCGTGTGCCCCTCCCCCAGATTCTGCACCTGGGGCCACGGCCCCCCTGGCTCCCATGCTATGCCACTGATAAGTAATAAATATGATCTAAGCCAAAATCTCTATGCCTGTAAGTAATCTTGGGTCATTTAAACTTGGGTCTTCCATCAACAGCAACAAGTACGTGTGCAAAGAGAAGAGGGTGGAAGCTCCTTGAGCCTTCATTAGGTCCAAAAGTCTTACTAGCAGGAAGTTCCCAGCCCATAAAGGTAAAGGTAAAGGGACCCCTGACTGTTAGGTCCAGTCGCGGATGACTCTGGGGTTGCGGCGCTCATCTCGCTTTACTGGCCGAGGGAGCCGGCGTACAGCTTCCGAGTCATGTGGCCAGCATGACTAGTGAACCACAGCAGCACACGGAAACACTGTTTACCTTCCCACCAGAGCGGTACCTATTTATCTACTTGCACTTCATGCTTTCGAACTGCTAGGTTGGCAGGAGATGGGACTGAACAACGGGAGCTCACCCCGTCGTGGGAATTCGAACCACCAGCCTTCTGATCAGCAAGCCCTAGGCTCTGTGGTTTAACCCACAGTGCCACCCGCGTCCCATGGTTCCAGCCCATAGTTCCCAGGAAATTGTGGGAAGCCATTTAAAAAACATATAGAATTGGGAAATGTACAAATGTATGCATGATACCTCCATACCCCAAAGGGGTGAAATAATATTGTGCACTGGATAAATTAGAGGTACAAATCTGCATACTATTGCTTAGCTCAGTAATTATTATTATTATTATTTATTTATTTATTTATTTATTTATTTATTTATTTCTACCCCGCCCATCTTGCTAGGTTTCTCCAGCCACTCTGGTCGGCTTCCAACAGAAGATTAAAAAATAAAACATCAGTCATCAAAAACTTCCCTAAACAGGGCTGCCTTCAGATGTCTTCTAAATGTCATATAGTTGTTTATTTCTTTGACATTTGATGGGAGGGTGTTCCACAGGGCAAGCGCCACTACAGAGAAGGCCCTCTGCCTGGTTCTCTGTAACTTCGCTTCTCACAGTGAGGGGACCGCCAGTTAAGCTTACACAATGACATTCGGGTCCCTTCCCAAATATCTGATAGAACTTCTCCTCTTTCAACCTATCCATGCATTAAGATCAGAGGAAGATGTTGGTCCTTGCATTAAATAAACTGCATAAGGAGCTTTTGGGATATTGCTGGCTCTTTGTCTTTGAAATGACCTTCCCATTGATGTGTCTCACAAAGACAGGTAAAAGCCCACCTTTTTAATTGGGTTGTCATTTTTATGACCTTGTTATTTATGTTCCTTATGATAATGATTTTGATGTTTCTTAATATTATGAGTTACAGTTACCCTATTTTTGTATACTGCCCTGTGACCATTTTTTTGTGGTACATGCTATGGAATTCTCTTAATAAATGTATATCAGGGCTATTGCTACTAACTGGAATTATTAAAGTCTGGATTTTTGGTAAAATGAGCACACTGAAATTTCATCAAAGGATTCTGAATACAGTGATATGCATTGTGCTGTGCAATACGGTCAAGGACACTTTCAGTTTCTTGTCAATTTACAACCATTCCTTCTGGCAAAAGGTATTCAAGGAAAATCAATACCGGATTCAGTTTTCATCTGCATTTATTTAAATGATTTGTGCAACTGTTTACCAACAGGCAATCTATAGCATAGCAGCTGCAGATGGCAGTATCATTTTCCAAAGGGGAAACTTGCCAAACCATTTTGTGAGGAACGAAAAGCTGGAAAACATTTTATTTCAGATTGATCTACAGAGAAATAAATTGGCTCTCTCTTTCAGATTTCCAATATATCATACTGCAAATTTGTTTATATAAAAAAAAACCCCACTATACAGTTGAATTGGCTGTCAAATTCACAAGGATATTGGAAAACCCATTGTTACCTTCATTAAACAAAAAAATGAAATGCAAGAATCAACTCTCTCTTATTGTTAAACCTTTTAATTGCAGAATTTATTTTCCTAATACCTTGGCTGTGATCCAAGAAGCATACGGAGAGAGCCGTGTGTGCAATGGGGCCTTTTCTCTTTCTTTTAAAAAGCATTCCCCACCCCCTCCAACTTATCCTGCCAGCTGCTTTTAGAACTCGGGAGTTTTTAAAGAGAGATGTTGCTGCTGAGAAAGGGGCAGTGGTGGAATCCTGCTGCACAAACACAGTCGTTTTAAAGAGAAGTGGAACGCAGAGCACAAGTCAGTTAACAAGAAAAAAAATCGCCATTCTTTATAGGCTTAGGCTCCCTTTCAGAAGGAAACTGAGACAAACGTGATGTGAAAACAGAACTTGGAGCAAATTCTGAAGCTACCCCACACCCCTGCCCCTTCTTCAGCTTCAGAGCATAAGTGACACATCCCTCAGCTCTAGAAAAGCAAGAAGGATTCTTATTGGTTGAGAGCACAGAACAATTTGCACTCTGGTTTGCTGTCCAGGCTGCAGAGCTAGGCTGAAGGCCTATCAGCCAATGAGGAAAGTGAAGAAAGGTGGGTCCTGCAGTAGAATACCATCAAGGGAGCCAGATGGAGAAAAAGTGTGTGTTGTCCTTTCTCTGTGTGGCCTCAGCAGGTGCCTCCTGCTCTCTCATGAGCCCATTGGCAGCTCTGCCTCTCTTCTTCCGCCTCTTTCCTGACTCTACTGCTCATGTGGGAATTCTTGACCTGGATAAAAGTGGATGGATGGTCCATAGCTGCACAGCACCTGAGAGTGCCAAATGTTTCATATGTCAATGAATTCCATTGGATGGGAGGCAACCGTGGGCAAGAGGCTATGACCTTTATGTCCAACTTTGTGGATTTCACAGAGGCTGACCACTTTGGGAAGGAGAATGCGGGACTAGATCAACCATTCACAGAGCTCTTTATGTGTCCTTATAAAGCTTACATTAGTCTAAGTAGCCAATATTTATCAGATGCCAGCAGAATCCAAAGCCTATGCTTCCACCTGAACCAGGTCTACTGCTGCACCACACAAAACTGACCCTCCTCTCCAAGGCCTTCAGATAACTTGTCCCCATGTCCATCCATTCTGCAGCCTACAAGCATCAGTCCTTTTCTCAACCCCATGACCCAAACCCAATTTTCTACTTCTTCCACATTCCATGTGTCATCCTTATAGTTTTTGAAACACCAGAGGCTAGCAAGCGTGGTAGCTTTAGACATGATGGCCAACATACCTGTTTTCTTCTGCCTCCCCCCATGACAATCTCTTCTCTAGCAGTGCAGGCCAGGGGAGACAATATGGTTGCTGAGTCATTTCACCATGGAAACTCATCTTGAAGTCACAATGGCTGCCTTTGTGTAATATTGTCAAGGATACAGATCAGCCATGAGGGTGGTCTCATATTTTGAGTATCAAACCAAGTATTAAGATACTCAAATCTCTGGGCACATAGATGAAGACCCTGGTCAAACAGTTGGGAATAGCAGCTTTGGGGCTTGATTTAGACTGAGGAAATGTCACAGGACTACAGCCAGGATTGCCCCTTCAATGCATTTTAAAGAGTAAAGGTCAGTGTCTTTCCAGTTTGGCTACCAGGATAGTTGTTCACAGAAAAAATAATTCCTCAATGTCTGCTTGAAGGCCACATAGTACCGAAAAAGAAATAGACTTTATTAAGTCATCTGTTTTACAGGTATAGTCCTCTGTAACTTTGTGCACTCATTGGCCAGAGTTGATACCATTTCTGGTGGGTAATGCTTGTCTATAGCCAATGTGGGTCTCTGACTGCTATATCCTGATAATCCCAGACACCAGATCACCTATGCAAATGGATAAAATAGCATGTCCTGGAGAATTCTGGGCTGAACCCGTCTCCTTAATGTGCTAGCTTAGTGAGCAAATGCATTTGTTTCCTTGGAATAGAAGAAGAAGATTTGGATTTGATAAGCTGCTTTATCACTACCCCCTAAGGAGTTTCAAAGCAGCTAACAATCTCCTTTTCCCTTCCTCCCCCACAACAAACACTCTGTGAGGTGAGTGAGGCTGAGCGACTTCAAAGAAGTGTGACTAGCCCAAGATCACCCAGCAGCTGCATGTGGAGGAGCAGGGAATCAAACCCGGTTCACCAGATTACGAGTCCACTGCTCTTAACCACTACACCACACTGGCTCAAATATGCCACACACTGTCAGGTGGCAGAGGATCCCACCCCCACAGCAGGTTGCCAGGAACGGATAAGACAAGGGAAAGTTCTTACCAACTGCTTTTTATTCAATATTCACAGAGAGATGCTTGGAAATGCAACCTCTTAGAATAATGGCATTACCCCGAGTGGGTCTCCACCCCATCCCCCTCTCCCTTCATGCATCATCACTATGGGTGCTGAGAAGTGCCCTCTGCCTCTGAGCTCTTTTCTCTCCTACTTTCAATGCTCACCGGGTTCTAGGAGAGAGGGGCCTGGAATGCTTTTGAAAGACATTGTGTCCATCAGCTGTGGCCCCTCTGGTAGGTCTTCTTCCTCCTCTCCCATTATTTCCCAGCTTTTCCCCTCATCTGCCTCTGAGCTGTAATCTCCCTCAAACCCCTGTTGTAATTCTGAACTGTCTCCTTCTCTGGAAGGGTCAGGTTGGGGAGGCAGTCTCCACCATTCCTCCTCTGCCCAGTCCCTGACACACACTACCCAAAAATTGTACAGGAAAGTATTCAGCATGGAATTCTGCAAAAGCTATAAATGAACACCAGGCGCATTCAAGTAACGCAAGCCAGGATCCAAAGGTGTATTTTAGGCTCCCTGGCAAATTTGAGAACATTTAAATCAGGGGTCAGCAAACTTTTTCAGCAGGGGGCCGGTCCACCATCCCTCATACCTTGTGGGGGGGCGGGCTATTTTTTTTTGGGGGGGGTGAACGAATTCCTATGCTCCACAATAACCCAGAGATGCATCTTAAATAAAAGCACACATTCTACTCATGTAAAAACACCAGGCAGGCCCCACAAATAACCCAGAGATGCATTTTAAATAAAAGGACACATTCTACTCATGTGAAAACACACTGATTCCCGGACCGTCTGTGGGCCGGATTGAGAAGGCTATTGGGCCAGATCCGGCCCCTGGACCTTAGCTTGCCTACCTATGATTTAAGCAAACAAACAGCTGAGTGTAGTGTCATATCACAAACAGTTTCTCTCCCCACGCCCCCAGTTTCACAAAGAACAATATGACATTGTGGGGTGATACACTCTCTGAAAGAAATGAAATGTATTTAGGAAGGGAAGAATGAAGACAATCGAAAGCTTGCTCAAGTTCGTGAATTTACAGTAGTTCCGCAGTTCTTTGAATCCTGCCTAAGGAGTGTGGATCATTCATAAAATACAATTTTGTAAGGTAATTTGGGAGAAAGGTTCTTGTTAAACTAAGTACTCGTTATATCATGTTTTTGAAGAATGATCATACAGTGCTCAAAAACTCCTATATTTTGACAATTTTGTAGTTAATTGCACTTGCTGCTAGCAAACGGCGACCTTTAGCTGACATATTAATACTCTCAGTAATCAGCTAAAGGTCACATCTTGTTTAGAGCCGCCGCTTTTTCCTTGCCACATACTCCAAACACCAGGAAAATGTCTTCTGTGCCAATTAGAGGTGTTAATGTGGCAGTCAGAGATCACCAACTCTTCCATGAATAAGCTGGTTCAGTGGTTTAATCCCAGCAGTAGGAAGAGCTATGATGAAAATCAGATCCTCCAAAAGCCTGTCTCAAAAACACTAATAGGGTGACGTAAATTGTTACCAATTGGCCTAAGATTTAATGGGATTTTTTTTTTAATGACAGAGCTGCTTCTGTGAAATCATTTACTTGTGAGTAGCAGGACTGCCAGCTAATTAAAGAGCTGTAGCTAATTTATCATCTCCTTAAACATTAATCCATGCTTAAATTTTTAATAAATTTTAATATTACCAAAACTCCAGTATAAGGGCATTTCTGAAGGAAGTGAAAGATAATCAATAAACCTTTTATTTGGTTAATCTACTGATTATATTAGATTCACTAGAGCGGGCAATACGGAGCAGTACCAACTGAGGTAATGATCCTGCGATGCAATGATTCAAGCATGTATTAGGTTTATGTTATTGAACCATGTGATTCCAGATGAATTTGGTGCACAGAATTAGAGACTTGTATTGCATTTCGTGTAGTGCAGTTTATTTGTACTGGATGTCTCTATACCAGACATATGCAGATATAGAGAAGTCTGGGAGCCACATATGACTACATAATGCTTGTGCATGTGTTTCTGCATGGGGATGTATATGGGATAACATCCTAGGCCCCTTTAAAATATGGTTTTTTTGTGAGGAGGGGCTATTGGGTTGTTGTTTTTATTTTGATTATATCTTTTCTGGTTTTATAATTTGATTTTGTTCTGTGAACCACCCTGAGACCCCAGGTATAGGGCCGTATATAAATTCAATAAATACTACTACTACAACAACAACAACAACAACAACAAAAATGAGGCAAGGCATTATGTACCAGATTCCAATCCATGGACTGGGGTGAGAGACTGACATTTCTCTCTCTCTCTCTCTCTCTCTCTCTCTCTCTCTCACACACACACACACACACACACACACACACCACCTTCATTATACACCTTTAGGCACCAGGCAAAAACATTCCTTTTTAACCAGGACTTTGGTTGATCTTATTGCCATCCAACACCATTTTAGAATGTAGCTTTTGGGGGGGTGGGTTACCGGGTTACTGTTTTTGGTTTGAGTTTATATGCTGTGGTCTTGTTGTGAACAGCCCTGAGACCTCCGGGTATAGGGTGGTGTATAAGTTGAATTATTATTGTTATTATTAACAACAACAACAACAAACAAACAACATCACTTTATTACGGTCATAGATGTGTGTGAATCAGAACATTCATGTGGTACAACTTTTACTGGACTCTTATAATTTTAGATGGCAGGCAGGGTTTGCATATTTGAATGCACACAAAACACATGAACATTATATCTCAGGGTTAACTATTCTACTTTATCCACCTCTCAGACGTGTTGCTTTGTTTCTTGAAGGAGCATTGGGAGGGGGAGTTGGATGTATTTGAACGCTGACAGCCTGTAACGATACAGCCCAGGGGAAGTGGCACCATGTGCGATTTCTGCTCTTAGCGCTCCCAACTATTGCTTAAGCTGACCCATCCCTGCACCAGAAGAAAATGGTTTGCACCACAGGCCAGTAGCAAGGGCCTGATTCATTTATAATGGCAAACAGTGTGGTTGCTGTAAAAAATGTGCGAGGAGACACTTCTGTGGTTGTTGGCATCCATCTTTATCGGAATACAGTGGAAGAGTACACCTTCAAGAATAAAGTCAAACCACTGGGAAGTTGCAGTGCCTGCTGTGGCTGTGGAGACCAATATGGGAGAGACATGTTTTATTGCAGAGGCAGGGGTCAAAGGAAAGCATCCGGTTTTGCTGCTACAGGTACACCATGGTGTTTCTTCCTTCTGTGCTCCTCCCAGTGGTCATTCCTCCCCTGGCCACTACTGTAGATACACAATCTTACTGTCTGTCTCCAGGCACTGTGGTTATCTCAAGGGATGCCCATATGGTTGCTTGGCTTCGCATCTTGTTTGCCAACATCTTTGTAACACAGAGTTGGTCTGCCAATGGGCCTGTTGCCTGAAGCCAACTCTCCATAGAGCACGTCCTTGGGGATCCTGCCAGCCTTCATTCTGTATGCATGACCAAGCCAGGATAGACGTCGCTGAGACAGGAGTGAAAACATGCTGGAGATGTGGGGTTGGGAGAACACATTTTTGTTTGAGACTCTGTCCTGCCATGTGATGCCCAAAATCTTCCTGATGCAACACATATGGAAGGCATTGAGGCATCCCACTTGGCTGGTGAATGTTGCCCACAACTCACTTCCATAAAGCAGCATGCTCAACAACCAAGCCTGGTAGACCTTCCCCTTGATATTGGACATTAGCATTGGTTTTGGAAACAGCATCTCATTCTCCTATGGCCTTTTGGAGAGGCGAGCCATTGCCATAGCTGCCTAGCCAGTACATTTGTCCAGCCCAGTGTAGATGAAGAGGTTGCCGGTTATGGTGGGGCCTGGTAGACAAAACAGTCCACCACATCAAGTGTGTGGTCACCAATGCTGATGCATGGAGTGCTGGCGATGTCCTGATCTAGGGTATTGGTCTTCGTCAGGCTGATGGTGAGGCCAAACTACATGCAGGCTTGGACAAAGTAGTTGTTGAGTCTCTGTAGTGTTTCCTCGGAGTGCACTGTCAAGGCTGCGCCATCCACAAAGAGCATTTATCGGATGAGAACCCACCACACTTTTGGCTTGGTGTGGAGACCTGCCAGGTTGAACAGACTCCTGTCACTCCTTGGAGGAATATACACACTGTCTTCAGTTGAACTAAAGGCATAGGTGAGAAACAAGGAAAAGAATATGCTGAGAAGGGCTGGGGTGAGAACACAACCCTGTTTCACATTCCCCTTTATAGGGAAGGCATCTGAGGATGAACCATCATACTGGATGGTGCCATTCGTGTTCTTGTGGAAGGGCAAGATACTCTTATAGCCCTTAGGTTGGTATCTGAAGAAGTGTGCATGCACAGGAAAGCTCATACCAGTAACAAACTTAGTTGATTTCTAAGGTGCTACTAAGGGACGCGGGTGGCACTGTGGGTTAAACCACAGAGCCTAGGACTTGCCAATCAGAAGGTCGGCGGTTCAAATCCCCACAACGGAGTGAGCTCCCGTTGTTCGGTCCCTGCTCCTGCCAACCTAGCAGTTCAAAAGCACATCAAAGTGCAAGTAGATAAATAGGTACCGCTCCGGCGGGAAGGTAAACGGCGTTTCCATGCACTGCTCTGGTTCACCAGAAGCGGCTTAGTCATGCTGGCCACATGACCTGGAAGCTGTACGCCAGCTCCCTCGGCCGATAAAGCGAGATGAGCGCTGCAACCCCAGAGTTGGTCACAACTGGACGTAATGGTCAGGGGTCCCTTTACCTTTACCTTAAGGTGCTACTGGAAGGAAATTTTTTGTCTTGTTGAGCAGCATGAAGAGTCCTTTTTGGCTGATGAGGTCAAAGGGCTTTGTCAGGTCTATGAAGATGATGTAAAAGCAGCATATCTGCTCTCAGCGTTTCTCTTGCAGCTGGTGCAGTGAGAAAATAATGTCAACTTATGACCTCTAGACCTCTGTGACTTGAGATAGACCCTGTCAGTGAGTGACTGTAATCTGCAGAGAACTAAATAGGCAAAGGCTTTCCCCACAGTACTCAACAAGGAGATTCCACAGTAGTTGTTACAAACGTGTTGGTAACCTTTGTTTTTATAGAGGGTCACAATGCTGGGGTTGCACATACATTATGGCATGGATCCTTTCCCCCAACAGTGGAAGAGTAGGCCATGGAGGTGCATTATGAGGGAGGAATGAGGCTGGCTTTCAGCACTTCTGTTGGGATTCTGTCCTGTCCTGGGGCTTTACAACATATCTGAGAGTTGTTGACATTCTTCAGATCATCAAGGGAGAGAGAGACATCTAGCTTTTCCAAGTCAGGCTAAGTCTGTATGCTGTCAGTTGATGTATCAGAGGACATGTTTCCCCACAAGTACTGTTTTCGATAGTGCTCTGTCCATTGCTCCATCTGCTTGCTGCGATCTGTAATGAGCTCTCCAGACAAGGTTTTCAGTGGTGCAGTTTTCCTGACTGTTGATCCAAAGGCTGTATTTATGCCTATGTACATTACGCAAGGGTTGCCACTATCAGCAATGAGTTGAATGCTCTGACACAGCTTTAGCCAGTAGTCATTGGCACATCATTTGGCAATCTGCTGGGGACCACTCATTACCTTTCTCTGTGCAGCAAGCATATTCTCATAGAGTGAACACTTGTAGTTCATAGGAGCCTCGTGCATTGCAGTGATAACAGGCTCCATGTCCTTCATGCCAGCCTCAAACCAGTCAGGGACCTGCTGATCTCTTTTATGAAAAGAGGGCATACCTGTGTTGTATTTGACTTTTTGATGCCTTTTTGATGTCGTTCCACCGTGCTTTGATGTTGCCTCTGGGGCAGTGTTTGTTTGAGGGAATCAGAGAAGCATGGCTTTTCGAGGGAATCAGAGAAGTTTTACTGATGTGGTTCAGCCTGAGCCATGAGTGAGTCAGTGTGAGCCATGTGTGAGATTCTACACACACACACACACACACACACACACACACACAACAGCAACAACAACAACAACCAAACAGCACTGAGCACAGTATTCTTAATGCAAGCCATGACACCAACACCTTATGATGTTGTTATTATCAAATGTATTAGTCACTTTCCACATATAGTCCCAAAGCGACTGACCCAGATGAGAAATGTATTGCATTGTGACAAGTGAAGAGACCATTCTCAAAACTTATAGCTGGATGATTGCTGAATGCCTTGAAAGCTGGTGGCTTCTAGCTGTTGACCATACTTCACCTGCTTGGGTGCGGAAGAAAACAGTGGCTCCTAGAATGTTGCTATAAAAGTCTGAGTTTATGAGGATAAAAAAAAAAAAAGGCAAAGGACCCCTGGACAGTTAAGTCCAGTCAAAGGAGACTATGAGGTTGTGGCGCTCATCTCGCTTTCAGGCCGAGGGAGCTGGCATTTGTCCACAGACAGCTTTCCAGGTCATGTGGTCAGCATGACTAAACTGCTTCTGATATAACGGGACGCCTCCCCACTGCAGTGGTACATATTTATCTACTTGCACTGGCATGCTTTCAAACTGCTAGGTAGGCAGGAGCTGGCACCGAGCAACAGGAGCTCACCCCGTCGCGGGGATTCCAACCGCTGATCTTCTGATCGGCAAGCCCAAGAGGCTCAGTGCTTTAGACCACAGCGCCACCTGCATCCTTTGAGTTCATGAACTAGCTGCCAACAGGGACGCTTGAGTGACAGGTCAAATGTATACCTTTTAATAACTGTTCATAGGTGCCAACTCTATGGGGCTGAGGATAGCTCCCCCCCCCCAAAGTATGTGGTGATGGGGCTGAATCCCCCCAGTCTTGAGGAACCATGGCCCACAGTGGCAGAAGGCCTCGTTGGGCCTACCTGTGGTGGTGGCAAGACTCCCCTGGCCTCCCAGCCTCCTACCAATGTGTGTGATGCCACACAAACACAGTGAGCCCTCCCCCCAATGTTACACAGAAATCAGCCCCTCTGTGTTCATTGCCATCCACCTACCAGATCCACATCTTACTCAGTCATAAAGCCCACTGAGGTAAGGTTACCAGATTTTTTCCAAAGAATCCAGGGACACCCCCTTTCTTTTAAAAAAGAGGAGTAAAATATTTTTAAAAAATAAAAAAAAGTAATATCATCTCTTCTGTGGTCTCTGTCACACAGCCTTCCTCTGCGCCTCAGCCTGCTCTCTTGGAGCGCTAGCTGCCATGTAGTAGGCTCAGGTCGGGCCTGGGCTCAGCCACGTGTCCTTGCCATCCCAGTGCTCTCCTACCTCTCCTCCTCAGTGGCAGCAGTGGCAGGGGCAGGCCAGGTCAGAGTTCCCCCCTTTTTTCTCCTTCCTCTTCCTCTCTCTTCCTTCTCCTTCTCCTCTCCTCCTTCTCACTGCGTCAGCTCCGGGGGTTTTACTGGCCCCAGAGCGCCGTTGGGCAGTTGGCAGGGTGGCCAGGCGCTCTCGCTCCCAGATCACTTTGGGTTGCATGGGGGGGTCAGCGGTTCCCCCCATTGACGTGCGGGGTGTCCCCGGTTCCCCCTTGGCAGTGGCGGCAGTAGCGGCAGTCTCATAAGCCCGGAGCCAGCCTGGTAGTGCAGTTGGCTCTGGCTGGCTTCAGGAGCTGCTCACTGCCCACCATTTTGCCTCGCCGGAACTCCCCATATGATGTGTCTTGTGCTGTTGAACCAATCACACAACATTCATTCCCTACTAATAAATCTACAACACTTAAAATATAAATCCCAGGACATTAAATGAAATCCGGGGACATTCCAGGGATGGATTTTGTCCAGGGACAGATTTGTAAATCCAGGGACTGTCCCTGGGAAACAGGGACGTCTGGTAACCATACACTGAGGTGCTTTAGTCTAGTCATATTCTTTCAGCCTAAACATACTTCACAGGGTTGCTATAAGGCAACTGTGAGGTCACCAGCTATATGCTGCCTTGAGCTCCTTTGGTAGAAATGCAAAATGTGTGTAGTTGTATTGTACAGTTTCATTTTTGCCATTGATGGAGTCTTGAATTGGCCATTTTGACAAATTAGACTTCTACGTTGAGTAAATATGATTCTGGACTACATATGCAAATGCTGTACAATCTAGAAGAAGATACATAATATTCAGAGTATCATTATTTCAATATAAAGAGGCAGGAACATTTGGAAGGGCATGAATTTGTTTTGCAGTGTTAATGGGAATTTTCATGTGACCTTTTTGTTCATAGCCTTAGACAGTTCTGTTACTGGTCTACAAGATGAAGAATGAGATCTCAGGAAATTGTTTTCATTAAAATCCATTTTCAAGAATCAGGTATTTAATACTGCAACTCCACAGGCTTTGGGAAATTTGGAAAATGGTTCACACATTAAAATAAATCAGAGGTTTAAGAGCCTGTAAAGTTTGCTATAAATTCTTATAGCGATAATGGTAAAAGGCAATTGTGTGCAGTAATAAACTACTTGAAATAGATGATGATTAAGCAACTTTAGATTGAATAACTACACTTCGTACTTAACTTTACTTTATCCACACACATTTTTACTTTGTCATGTATTTATCTGAATTTTTATGGCAATGCATAATGCAGAAGAAATTGTAGTAGTACTATATATAGTGCACATATATTTTACTCCAAGTTAAAAAATACAAATTGCATGGACACAAGCTTTATAGAAAACCCCATAAATTGTAATTATACTTGATTTTCGGACTCAGAAAACTTAATCCAGTATAAACTGTCAATACATTTATTGTAGTTATAGTATTGCAGGCTATTTGAATATGTGCACTCTGTGTGTGTGTGTGTGTGTGTGTGTGTGTGTGTGTGCATGTTACGATGTGTGCATTGAATTTTGAGTAACCCCAGGCTGATTTTGAAATTTTCAGGACTTGACAAAACCAAAGTGGGCTCCCTCTGAATCAGCCCAAACCAAAGGAAGAACCTCCATAGCAATTCAGCCAAAAAGTTATAAATTATGTCTTTTAAAAAATAATAATAATCAAATTTTAAAAGTGCCCAGCAGAAAACACCAGGACCTATTTTTAATTTGACAGGTTTTATCCAGAAACATTACCCATTTCTGTCAAAAGGAATAAAGGTTATGGCCCTTTCTTTAAATTTCCCCATAATAACGAATGAGAAGGTACAAGTCTGCTGGTTTCCTGAACTGGGGTTCTGATTTGGACCCATGTTCTATGGTATATTAGTAGTCCAGTGCCCCATCAGCAAGGAAGAAGATGATGAGAGATTTCCTCTCCTGACTTTCTTACTGTTTTCATTAGACAATATCATCTCCAGAAGATGGTGGCTTCTACAGCAGTCCCAGCCCATTGGACTGCGTCTAATTTAGGAACAGACAATTCCTGCTTGAGAAATTATGCTTTGGAGGGGATGCCAGGAAACCGAGAATTATGTTCACATGTGGTGGGGGTGTAAATATGTGCAATTTTTCTGGCAAAGGGTGTATAAGGAGATAACAGAAATCACCTGGTTAAAGCTGACTAAAAGTCCAGAGGTTATCAATTTACAGCTGCACAAATTATGATAGCTAGGAAGAGGAAGGGGCAAGCAGAATATAAAATGGAAGAATGGTATAAAGAGCTGTGGGATATAGCTATTAATGATAAATTAACATGTGCCATTAAGACAGGGAATATCCAGGAGCAATGATTATGGGGAGATATGGAGGGTGTTTATAGAATTTGTACTGTTAAAACAGAAAGGGGTCAAACCATCACAAGAGGTGTTGAAAATTTGGGAGGTTGGATAGTTATAATGGAATGGTCTCGGTGCTAGGGTGCACATTTTTATTCTTATTTATGTATTATTATTACTTTGTCAAATAAATGAATAAATAAATGAGAGAAAGGAAAGGGGGGAAGCATTGCTGTAGCTCAAGCACTCCTTGGCCATTTCACTTGGGCCCAATAAATCACACAATAAAAAAGAAAAAGTAAAAAAAGAAATTATGCTAGTCTTGTTCATACTTTTTGTGCGTCTTCTGAGGAAGTGCCCAATTCACTTGAACTTAGCTTCCAATGGAACAGTAACTTTTTCTTCTATGAACATCACACTTCCGCTTCCATGCAGCCATTTCCCACACCTTGGCCTTTCAGATATGTTTGGGTTGTTTTGTGCTATGCTGAGCAAAAGTATCTGTGCTACCAACAAGGATGAATTCTAGATAAGCACATATAGGCAAAGGCCCTTCCCCACCACAAATTAACAGTTTACATTTTCAGAACAGACAGAAATAAATGTATGGTTTCGATATGTTGAGTCACCAACCCTTGCAAAAGGTCTCAGATTAATTACCTCAGGAGCTGATGATTTGATAGGAGGATGACGGAGAAAGGGCAAAGTCTATAATTAAAAAACTCCTACTTCAAAAATCCTGATGGAAAAATCGCTAGTTCCCCACTGCTATGTCAATTACGACCCAAATTATGGCAGTTTAGGTGTGTGAGAGCCTGAACGAATCAGTACATTGAAAATGCACTTGGGGTATTCTTGACCTTTGGTGCTGACTTGCCTTATCTTCCACCTAGGGCAAGTGGAATTCACCAATGCTTTGATTTCCTTATCCAGAAGGATTTGTTTATAAGCTTAAAGATGTGGTGTATATCTTCAATAGTAGCTTATGTTAGGATATTTCCGTTCCACCTTAAAAGGGAGCAGGATGTTTGTGTCACAGCCTGCGTATTTCCTGTTCACAGGATGTTTCTGTTGTGTCTTTGCTTTCGTTCTCTCTGTGTCCGAGACACTGAAGCTGGCAGTCATGTTTTCTTTGTTCTGACCAATGCTGAATAAACTTGTAGATAATGCTCTCCTGCGTGCATCTTTCGCTGTGTGAATTCTGCTGATAGAGCGTGCATGAGCTATGGAATGTGGCAAGCTATTTCTGGAAGTTCGTGTAGCTAATTGAATGATACTGCATGTCTACGGGAGATCGATGGACGTCCGGAGGTGGCTTGGGGGCCATGATGGACTTTGTCTCCCTGGCAGTATCCCAACAGCTTATACAACAAGAAAACTCCAGTTTTCATGTCATTTTTTGGTACCATTTTAACTCTTGCAACTCCTGCGTGGGTACCATTGCCATTACAGTCATACCTTGGGTTGAAGTAGCTTTCGGATAAATATTTTCGGGTTGCACTCCACGGCGACCCAGAAGTAACGGAGCATGTTACTTCCGGGTTTCGCTGCTCGCGCATGCGCAGACACTCAAAATGACGTCACACAAATGCGCAGAAGCGGCGAAACGCAACCCACACACGCGCAGATGCATCTTACATTTACTTCAGGATGTGAACGGGGCTCCGGAACGGATCCCGTTCGTATCCAGAGGTACCACTGTATAAGAAAATAAGAGAGTTCCACAACCTCTTTTTCTAGAAAAATAGGACTGCGTGCTCATATTACTGGACAACTCTTCTGCAAGGGTGTTAGATGATCTTTATAGTATTAAAAGAACTCTATAAGTGTGTAGGGGATTGTGGGATATAGGTAAAAAGGTAAAGGACCCCTGGACAGTTATATCCAGTCAAAGGCGACTGTGGGGTTGCAGTGCTCATCTCGCTTTCAGGCTAATGGAGCTGGAGTTTGTCCACAGACAGGTTTCTGGGTCATGTGGCCAGCATGACTAAACTGCTTTCTGGCACAACAGAACACTGTGATGGAAACCAGAGCACACGGAAGCGCTGTTTACCTTCCTGCCACAGTGGTACCTATTTATCTACTTGCACTGGTGTGCTTTCAAACTGCTAGGTTAGCAGGAGCTGGGACAGGGCAAAGGAAGCTCACCCCGTCATGGGAATTCGAACTGCCAACCTTCTGATCGGCACCCCAAGAGGCTCAGTGGTTTAGACCACAGCGCCACCCGCATCCCTATTCTGGGATATGGACTAGGATACGCAGTAAATTCACACAGACTGCTGGACATCTGTTGATTCAGCCTGATTGTTTCCCTGTTCATAAGTGAGAGAACCCTCTAGAGTAGCCTTCTCTGATCTTGGATCTCCATATGTTATTGGAATACAGTCTTCATCATGCACAATCTGCATGGCCAAAGGTTGCAGCCCAACAACATCTGAGGCTCCAGAGTTGAGGAAGTCTGCTCTAGAACATGACCTGCCCACTTCCTTGGCAGCATATTGTAGGATCTGCAATCATGGCAAGCTTGCCCACCATCATGACTTTCTCATTGAGGAATCCCAATAAGCTTTTGCAGAGCACAGTTTCAAAACCATGGCTCTTTAGAATAATCAGCAATCTAACTACACCTGGTCTATGTTGCACCACAGAGTGGAAGGCCATAAACATGAGAGAGAGAAAATGGAATCCATTACAGAAGAAGCTATGAAAACTCATTCCATTTTCCAACACACTACAGTTTATTTTCATGGTATCATAAGAGGAAGCTGATAAAGGCAGCATTAAAACAATAGCAGCGCCTCTATGTTTCCAAAGTGCTTTCATTTAATTGCTACTCTTAAAAATCAGAGTTTAAAATCAGAGCAATTATACACATTTTATCTAGGTTGTATTTTTTAATTTTTTTTTGCATTGATATAGGATATATTCCTTGTTCCGTTTTCTTTAAACATAAAAATGGCTCTCTCCTTTAATGTAATGGAAGTCAAATTAATATTTCATTAGGCCAGTTGGATAACTTTTACAAACCTCACTGATAAACAATGAAATGAAAAATTCAGCATCTCCCAATGAATTCAAAAACTTATTTAAATTCTTCACAAGAGCCGATTTTCTTTTTCTCTTGGGATTTACATAACCATTTGGTATAATTATCTCCTCTCTTTTTTATGAGCTCCTATAAAGGAAATAAAACATCTTTTATCTTTGCAGCTAAAGAACAAGTAGACAAAGCATTTTTCTTATTCCTTTCAAATTCCAGAGGTGATGATAAGGAGCCATTAGATAACATTGTAATCAATTGTCACGTCTTATAATTGAAAAATAAAGATGTAGAGCAGAGGAAGCTGGAGTCTGTCCCCATAACATTTATCATTTGGGATATGTTTTCCTGTTTTGTCTTATCAGGTTTTCAGTCATGAATACACATTTCTATTTTATGAGCTACCCTGGCAGTTTGCAATTACTCCATCCCATTTAATGCAACTAGAAAATGAATTAATGGCTCCTTCTTGCTCCACCGTGGCTCTAAATGTCCACCGCAGTCTATAGCAGTAGTTGAGGCAAAGAAGCAGCAGCAGAAAGGCAAAGTAGTAAAGAAAATTTCTATTTATGCACTGTTACATGCATTGGCAAGTGGCGGCGGCGGGGGGGGGGCATGTGTGCATCTATGGATGTGTGCCTTGAATAATGGAGTAAGTTCTCCAATGGTTTGTGCATATCAGAGGCAAAAGAAGAACGACATCTTCTCATGCAAGGTGCGATCAAATAAAGCCAGTTGAACAGAAGAGGGAAGGGAAGGGAAGCAATAGCTAGTTGAGCAGCTGTTTGCATTGGGAATTGGGAGACGAATGGCAAGTCCGACAAGAATTTGCATGAGCAGCTAGATGAAGAATAGTATGCTCATCACCACTTTGTATGGAGAAATTTGATAAGCAAGAGCAAAGCAGGAGCAAATTTTAAAAATAACAACAGCTAAGCTCCCAGGCTGAATGATGCACAATTAGCCACCCTGAACCCTTCTTTAAATGAGGACAATATGCGCTAACACTAGGGGCTGAACTGGTATATTACACCTGTCAAGTTAGCGAAAATGTATAAAGTCAGTAATAAAGGTTGGAAATGTAAAGAAAAAGAGGGAACATTTTATCACATGTGGTGAGAATGTAAAAAGGTGAAATGCTTCTGGGAGATGATATATAATGAGTTGAAAAAAATGTTGAAATATACATTTATAAAGAAACTAGAAGCATTTTTATTGGGCATTGTGGGGAGTGACATAAATAGAAAGGAATGTAAGCTCCTTTTATATGCAATAACAGCAGCAAGAATATTATTGGCCCAAAAATGGAAGCAAGAAGAGTTACCGACGATTGAAAAATGTGGGATGAAGTTAATGGACTATGCAGAATTAGATAAACTAACAGGAAGGATTCGAAACCGGCGAGACCAGAAATTCACGGAAGACTGGAGTAAATTTACGGACTATTTGAAAAGTAATTGTGAAGAACAGACAACGTTTGTAGGGTTGCAAGAAGTTTTGTGAGGAGTATTATTAGAAGTATTGTAAAAATGGACAAGGGGGAGGATGATTTGTTAAGAGATGTAAAGGCAATATAAAGTTAAGAAATGCATAAGAAGTGGTTAAAACGGCGGATCATCAGAGGTGCTGATGGAAGTCTAAAAAGATTGTATAAGTGATAAGTTTTGTGGTACATTTTATACCCCATGAGTCCAAACTTACATTGGCTAGAATATACAACCACATTCCTTCTAGATTCTCTCCTATATTAATAGCCCCTGTGGTCGCAGTTATCCATCCTCTGGGCATATCCCATGTGCGCTGCTGCCTAAATCCAGATGACAAGCAGGGCAGAGATGGAACCAGGTGTGTTTATATAGTAAAAAGCATCCTTCAAATAGCCATTTAGCCCTATGACCTGCAGTCTGAATTATTCCTGAAAGAGGAATGGCAGTGTTGTTGTTTAAGCACTGGGAAAATATGTTCGCCATTGCCAGTCTCCAGCCTGGCAGGTGCATTTTGTGCTAATGGAAGCCTCCAAGAAGTCTTCAAGGGTAGTCCCACATGCAAGGCATGGCAGCAGTCATCTTAGGAATCACCAGAATGTGAATAAGAAGGCACAGCTGGTCCAACAGTCTTAGCTGCTGAAAGGTATTACATACCACAGACGCCGCTTGGATATCCAGTGAAAATGTTGGCTCTGTCATCACCCCAGATGCTGAACCTGGTCCTTTAGAGGGAGTGATCTACAATAGACTAACACCATCTCATTGGTCACACAAATCACCTACCAACAGAACCTGTCAATTTATTTAGACAGAGTTTCATTTCATTGACCCTCATCCAGGTCATTACTGACCTCAGACATCGATTTAGTAGCTCCCCTGCCACACATGCTAATAATTAAACCATTTAGGCTTCATCACACTTTGATTGGGTAGAATATTGCCTGCCTATTTTCCTTCTTGGTTACCCTACTGGCAAGCGTCTCCTTGTGTTTATACATTTAAAAATCAGCACATTAGAGAATCTGGAGACCCTTTAAAAAACAAAACAACCCCCCCCCTCTCTGTCACTATTGAAGGTGTTCTAATCCATCAAATGATGCATCGAAGACCCTGTGTACCTCCTGTCACAATTCCTGTTACCTTCCATGGGTGAAAGGGATAGCTTCTGAAGTTGAGAGCCTTTTTCGCTCATGTAAACTCCCGGTGTGATTTAGACCCTGGGGAATGAAATCATGTGAGGAGCCAACAGAAATACAGTAATGCTGCGGATGTTCAGCTGTCAACGCATGAAGGGCGGCAGGAGTAGTGGTGGTGAGGCAACATGAATATTTTATATATATGTGCAATATAAATTCAGTCAATAAATAAATAAACAAGAGGGGGTGGAACCAGAGAACCCTCTCTGCCTGCTCACAGGATGAGGAGAATGATGGAAAGGGCTTTTTGTCGAACTGGAATATGCAGTGTGAAACTTCACCCATGCTGTGATGTGTTATATATAGCTGAAGGTCAGAGCTTAAGTCACCTTTGATTATACAAACACATTGTTATGAGTGGACGCAACTGTGAACAGATTTACAAAGTTGGGGATCTCAAGAGAGAAAATAAAGCAGTCCTGAAAAGGAAATGTTATCTGCACTTGACATGTTGCTTGTTATCGCTGCAGTCTGCAGAAGCTCTCATGAGAGATAAAGTCTCCTGTTAATGTTATCCCTTATGCTATGAAGATGGTTCTGATAAATTTGACAGTGGCAACACATACATATATAGTAGCTGCTTGAGACATGAAAGGATGTCCACTCTTACCAGAGCAATAAATTTACTTGATTGGCAGTGTCCCAAACAATCCAACACTAACAGTTCTTTTTAAATCGTAATTTGAAATAGATCTGTTCTCAGCCTCACCTAAGCTTAGTGGAAAGGTTATCCCAGTTTTTAATCAAGAAACATTAACCATGTTCCTTCATAATGAGTTTCCTAAAAACAAATTGGGAACCATATCTATCGTGCAGCTGCTCTTATTTTTTTATCTTGGATTCCCCATCCCCCCACGGCTGTTATTAACTGTATTTGTGGTTTTCAGGCTCAGACCTTACTTTCCCATTCATTCATGATGACTTTCCCCTCTCTTTTTCAGTGACGAGTATTTTTTCAGAACACGACCCACCACATGGCAATCTGATATTTGGCACATCCTGGAGAGCTGCTTCATGCATTTCTAAGATCACACTTCTCCCATCAAATTGTAGCACTAGCGTCCCACTCTTCACACCTGTCCCCACTTCCTCTTCATTCTAACATCCGCTCCCACTTTCTCCTGCCCCAATACACTGTGAACATTCATGAGTCCCTACTTACAGCAGCATAGTTTTCAATGAAAAATGCACCAGACTAGCGTAGACTTGAGTGCATGGCTGTCACCATAGCAAGATGTGTGACAGAGCTCTGTGAAAACATAGTGACCGGGAATGGAATGGTGGAGACCACCTCCCCATCCTGACCCTTCCAGGGAGGAGGAAGAGGAAGACAGTATAGATTTACAGCAGGGGTTTGAGGGAGGTTGCAGCTCAGAGGCAGATGAGGGGGAAAGTTGGGAAATCATGGGAGAGCCTTCCAGACCCACCATCTCCCAGAACCTGGCAAGCCTTAAAAGTAGGAGAGCAAAGAGCTCAAAGACAGAGGGCACTTAGTGGCACTTGTAGATGAGGTGATGAGGTTGACGAATGAAGAAGTGGGAGAGACAGGTGGTGGAGATTCACTCAGGACAACACCATTATCCAAGAGGCTGGGTTCTATAGCCTCTCTCTGTAAAGTTTTAAATAAAAAAAGACTGTATGAAACTTTTCCTTGCCTTTATACTCTTCTGGGCAACCAGCCGGGAGCCACGGACAGCATCCTGACAGCAGGGAGCAGAGAGCATTAGCCATTCAAATTACCTACCTTCCAACCTTTCTTGAGAAAGGAAATGTGATTGTATGAATCCATCCCAAAGTCACACATAAAGTTGATTATTTGATGGATACAGGGCTGTGAATGCATATCTATTGGCCTCAACTTGATGGGTTACAAACTGGCAAACCAATCTAAAAAAATTCCGAATGGTATAAGTTAATATGTCTCCCAAATAAAACTATCCATCACCTATTATGGAGATCCATCTTGACAGGGCTGAGATGCAGTCTGACTGTTAACTGTCTCTGGCTTTACCAAGACTTAAAGCAGATCCTCTTTGTGACCTCACACTTGACATCAGAATGCCATGTTTGCATTCAACCTAGACTATCTCCATGCCAACAGCAATGGCCAGTAAACTTCTGGAACCAAGTAACCATCAGCCTGGCTACCCAGTTGCTTCGATCTAGACTATTGGATGGGGGTTTTTTGCTCTCATAATCAAAGCCTGAAGAAGAGCTGTGTATAATCTGAAAACCTGCTTCCACTGTTAAAGAATACTAATTGTCAGAGACTGGGCAGAGGAGGAATGGTGGAGACCCTCTCCCCATCCTGACCCTTCCAGGGAGGAGGAAAAGGAAGAAAGTTTAGATTTGCAACAGGGGTTTGAGGGAGGTAGTAGTTCAGAGGCAGATGGGGGGGGAATTGGGAAATCATGGGAAAGTCAGAACAACACCTGGCTGACACATTGACACTAGAAAGCACTCCAGATCCACCATCTCCCAGAACCCGGCGAGCCTTAAAAGTAGGAGAGCAAAGAGCTCAAAGACAGAGGGCACATAGCAGCACCCATAGAGGAGGTGATGAGAAAGATGAATGAGGTGGAAATTCCCAGATGTCAAAAAACGGTTATTTATGTATGCCACTACTGCGGCCTGTGTTTTGTTAGCCCCCAAATGGAAAATGAGCAAGGTCCCAACTAAAGAAGAATGGCAACTTAAACTGATGGAATGTGCGCCGCTTGCGGACCTAACACACAGAATAAGAGAACAAGAAGAGCATATGTTTAAAGAAGATTGGAAAATGTTTGTTGAATATATGGGGGGGGGATTGTGTACACTTGAAAACGTTGGCAGCATTAAGATAATTTCAACAGCGTAAATAAGTTTTGGTGGATGTAATAATGGGATACTGAATGGTTTAGTTTATATAAAATATACACAATGTTATGCAAAATGAACCATGGAAAGAGATGAAAGGAAGTCTTTGATATTTTAAGGTTGTTTAAATCAATATTTTAAATTGTAAAATATATATATATATATATATATATATATATATATATATATATGTATATATATATATAGTGGTACCTCGGGTTAAGTACTTAATTGCTCCAGAGGTCCATTCTTAACTTGAAACTCTTCTTAACCTGAAGCACCACTTTAGCTAATGGGGCCTCCTGCTGCCGCCGCGCCGCCAGAGCATGATTTCTGTTCTCATCCTGAAGCAAGGTTCTTAACCCGAGGTATTATTTCTGGGTTAGCAGAGTCTGTAACCTGAAGCGTATGTAACATGAGGTACCACTCTGTGTGTGTGTGTGTGTGTGTGTGTGTGTCTGTGTCTGTGTCTGTGTCTGTGTGTGTGTATAAACGAATGAGGAAGTGGGAGAGATGGGGGTGGAGATTCACTCGGGACAATGGCATTATCCAAGAGGCTGAGTTCTATATCCTCTCCCTGTAAAGATTGAAATAGAAAAGTACTGTAAGTAACTTTTCCTCGTCTTTATACTTTCCTGGGCAACCAGCTTGGAGCCACTGAAAGCATCCTGACACATAGACAACTCTGTCCATGAGACTGTGTTATGTATGTTCATTATGTGTCCTCTGCTCTGAGCTTGAGCATGGATTAGGATTCTGAGCCCTGATTCGATGCATGATTTCCAAAAATGTAGCATTGTCAGGGTTTGGGCTACTGGCATGGGCTCTTAAACTCTGGGTTACGATTCACAGCTTGTGGGTTTAGACAACCAATCATGTTGAGAGTGGGAGTAGCCCAGGTCTTCAGAAATACATATCAGCAGTTGCTGTTCTCTTCCTGATGCCTCAATATAGCCTGTAAGCTGATTCCCTGCCTTGGGTATTGCTTGAACCCACATATACTTCATCCTACACATAGAGCTTATGCACATTTATAGATGGCATCTGCATAGGGTCTTTCTGACATTTTACTGAAGGTGCATGAAGGTGCAGCTAGGGGATATGTTGTTGCTTCCTTGTCTACAAACTTTCAGGATACATTCAGCGGTGGGGAATATTGTGCTAGTTTACCAGATTAGCCTTGTTCTGTGTCTAATGCTTCCCTTATGTTTCCCTCCCCTTATGGTTTTGATGAGGCTACATTTTAAATTGCATTTTAACCTGTATTTTAAATTGGTCCCCCCCCCCATTATGTTTTTACTGTAATTTTACTGTTGTTAGCCACCCTGAGCCCAGCTCTGGCTGGGGAGGGTGGGGTATAAATAAGTTGTTATTATTATTATTATTATTAAGCACAATAAGCCTTTCCACAACGGTGCTGGGGCTCATAGATTGAAGCAAAATACTGGCTATTTTGCCCGTGCGCTGGGCTCATGGGAAAAAGCTGTCTTGGCTAATTGTCAAAACAGGGGGAACAAAAATATATGTTTGATGTTTCAGCTATTTGCCTGCATATATTTAATAGCTAAGATTGTTGTAACATGTAAATAAAAAATGTGTAATGCTCCCTCTATAATAGATTAGTTGTTAAAGTGGATTAGTTATTAAAATCACTCTGGCTTTACATGCCAGCAGAGAAACTGTCCTGAAATCTTTTATAGGCCCTTTTAAAACAGAAGCCTTTATGAAAGAGGGAGAGAGAAATCTATGCATGTAGTTATCCCTTCATTTAAAAATTAAAGAATTCCCCCCCCCCAATAGCAGAATGGTTCTCTGCCAAAGACGTAAGAAATTTGGAAATCGAAGTAGACACCTTACAAATAAATAAAAAACAGAAGGGATGGTGAAGTTATTTATGCCACCACACTTTCAGCAAGTACTGTTTATGGACTCTAGTAATAGATGAGAGGTTCCGGTATTTTGATATTTCTTTGTATAAAGAATTCCAAGGGCAGTGCTGGGAAATAATGAAATAGTGATTCATGAATTGCCAGCCTCTTTTATCAAATCTGTTTAGACACTTGTTCTGTTAATAAAACCTAAATGTAAAACAGTCCTGCTATTCATATTTCATATTTATTATTGACGATTCCATTACGGCAAGTGATTTATTCCAGTATTCTTCGGTTATTAGTTGCTTTAAGTCTTTTTGCCATTTACTTATTAAATTCTCTTTTTTGGAGAGGTTTCATTTTATTCATAACATTATAAATCCATATATATATATATATAAAACAGCGGGTAGTTAGTTTCTCCTTGCCTCTCATTATTATCTACCAGAGGTTCCCTTTATCACATACATCATTTACAACTTACTGCAGTGAATCCCTGAAGGCAGTGAGACTTGAGTTTAAGAGAAGAATAAATAATTTGCTAGTTGTTGGACACACAAGCCTTCCAGTCAATTGGGGATCCTGTTTGATCAAGATTCCAGACTGCAGGGAGGTGGGGAAAGTAGGAACAGAAAACCAGGTGGAAAGATGACTAGAATGGAATCATCTGACTGACTGTGACACTATTTATTGATTCATTTACTGAATTTATATACTGCTCTATATCCGGAGGTCTCAGGGCGGTTCACAGAACAAAATCAGAATGTAAAACCACAAAATATACAATCTAAATAAAAACAACAACCCAATAGCCCCTCTTCACAAAAAAACATATTTTAAAAGGGCATAGGGATGTCAATTAGATCAACCAAAGGCCTGGTTAAAAAGGAATGTTTTTGCCTGGCGCCTAAAGGTGTATAATGAAGGCGCCAGGTGAACTTCCCTGGGGAGCGCATTCCACAGACGGGGAGCCACTGCAGAGAAGGCCCGTTCTCGTGTTGCCACCCTCTGGACCTCTCAGAAGATGATCTCATGGTCCGGGTAGGTTCATGTCAGGGAACTGCCATCAGCTCAGAGGCGAGAGGTGGAAGGGCAGTTGTGTTACAGGGAGCCTCCGAAGATCTTGCGAAGCAGTTCTTCCTCTGGCGAGGAGGGAAGCCCCACCTCCAGTGGGGAAGGGGCGCAGGGATCAGAAGATGCTAGGGAGAGCCTCAACACCAAGCCTGAGCAAAGCGGAGGGGAGGCAAGTCCCCCTTTGCCAGCGCCCACTCTGCGCAGTAGGTTTGGGTGCAGAGAGGGGAGGAGAAGGATGGGGGTCATACGACTGCTATGCTGGGGAAGGTATAAGGACCGCCCACTCCCAGATTCTGCTAGCGACTGAGCAGACATGGACTTGCGACTTGCGACGCTCTGCACTGTAAATAGTTTTGTACAGATAATAAAGCCTGGAAAAGACAGGTTGGAGTCTTGCCTGTTTGCTCTCGAGCAACCAAACCAGCACCTGACAGTTCATATGGAAATAGGCGATATTGTGGTTCCGAGCCATTTAAGGCTTTATAGGTCAAAGCCGGCACTTTGAATTGGGCCCGGAAATTAATTGGTAGCTACTAAGCACTCTAAGAGGGACGCGGGTGGCGCTGTGGGTTAAACCACAGAGCCTAGGACTTGCCGATCAGAAGGTTGGCAGTTCGAATCCCCGTGACGGGGTGAGCTCCCATTGCTCGGTCCCTGCTCCTGCCAACCTAGCAGTTCGAAAGCATGTCAAAGTGCAAGTAGATAAATAGCAGTTCGAAAGCATGTCAAAGTGCAAATAGATAAATGCCATTTACCTTCCCGCTCCGGCGGGAAGGTAAACGGCATTTCCGTGCGCTGCTCTGGTTCGCCAGAAGCGGCTTAGTCATGCTGGCCACATGACCCGGAAGCTGTACGCTGGCTCCCTCAGCCAGTAAAGCAAGATGAGCGCCGCAGCCCCAGAGTCGGCCACGACTGTTCCTAATGGTCAGGGGTATGGAAAAGCACCCATGCTACAATATTTTGCTGCAGTTCTCATCCAGTCTGAATTCTTTCTCATAAATCTCTCATGTTAAATCATATAATTGTTAATCTGATTCCCCCTTTACATATAAGTTGCTGTTAGTCAGAAATACAGAGTGTAAATTCTACTAACAAATTTATTGTAATTTACTAATCTCTTTACTGTAACCTGTGAAAGGATCTCTTGGGTCTTTGAAGCTGCATTTTCCTTGTTTTATTAAGTCATGTGCTGTGGTAAAAATTTGTAATGCCTAGTAAATTGTATGTA